GGGATCGGGCAGGCGAGAGTCAAGATCTCCCCCCGGTTGCCTTCCTGGGGGGATTCAAGGAGTCGTCCATGTTTTCTAAGCGCTACGACAGAGGCGGAGCCGACCTTGGATTTACTGGTGGTCTCCCATCCAGGTCTGGAATGATCAGGTTTGGCTTGGCCGATCGGTCAGGATTCGCTGGATGCCATATCTGAAGTCTTGGCTCGCTGCTTAAAAGTGTGTGTGTGTGTGTGTGTGTGTGTGTGTGTGTGTGTTTATCAATAATGGCTGTGAGAATGTAGCTGGACCCCTGGCCTTTCTCACCCATCATTAGTTTTCAGGCAGGCAGGTTCTCCTGAAGTTTGGCCTGCAACATCTGTGTTTTTCCCTGAGTGAAAGAGGAGGAGATATCAACCGATGCAGTAATGGGAAAAAGATCCTCTTGGGGTTGGGAGGGGGGGGAAATTCCTCTTCTGCACATTCACTCCCCCCTCCCCGTCTGAAAGAGCTGTCTGTCATCCTTCCTGCATTTTAATTTACTTCATTTTAATGTTTTGAGGAGTCCTTGCTGCTCTCTGAGCTTGGCTGTCTTCTTTCAGACATTTCAGCACCCAACTAGGTAACAGCATCAATGTGAGGGAGGGTGTGGTTTGCTGTTTATATGCAGTAGTTTGCCCTGCCACTATTGGTGGGGATGTGGTTTTCTCCTTGTTCTCTGATGAAGGTATTGTTTAATGTTAGAATGCTTGTTGGCTTTTTATTGTTTTGTCCCCTTAGTAGCTTGAAGCAAAAAACAATGGCCCCGATCAAGGAACTATCAGGAGAAAACCACATCTCTACCAACAGTGGCAGGGCAAGCTATAGATAGAATCAGAATAGAGCTGGAAGGGACCTTGGAGGTCTTCTAGTCGAGCCCCCTGCTCAAGCAGGAGACCCTGCACCATTTCAGACAGGTGACTGTCCAGTCTTTTCTTGAAAGCCTCCAGTGATGAAGCACCCACAACTTATGGAGGCAAGTTTCTCTGGTTAATTGTTCTGTCAGAAAATTTATCCTTAGTTCTAGATTGCTTCTCTCCTTGATTAGTTTCCATCCATTCCTTCTTGTCCTGCCTTCAGGTACTTTGGAGAATAGCTTGACTCCCTCTTCTTTGTGGCAGCCCCTTAGATATTGGAACACTGCTATCATGTCACCCCCTAGTCCTTCTTTTCATTAACCTAGACTGCATGGCTAGTTTGAACTAGACTCAGTGGCTAGTAACCCTGATATTGACAAATGACTTGCTACATAAGTTTATCAAGAATGAAAGTATTGTTCTGCTTAGCTATTTCTCTTTGAAGTATCTGGTTAGCCAATAGGAATGCTGGTCTGGATTGGCTTCCGATCTGTACTCTTGTTGGACCACCCCCCCTTGCCACTTGATGCTGTGTTTGTTCCTGATTCCCAATCATTTCAAGTTGCTTATCAATCAATCCTTGCAGCTTGCACAGCATATTGACCAAGAATGCATATCTGCTTAGAAACAGCTTCTAAATATTGTGCGATTTCGTATTGCATTTAGATTTCTTATCTTTGGACTGGAAGCAAGGAATTGCAATTTCTCTTCTACATGAATTCAATATATCTTAAGGTCACAGTGACCAGGCTTTGCCTAACATAGAGGTAAAGAGCTGAATTCTGTATCATAAGATAGTCTCTAAATTTCTTGGAAGATACTAAAATAAATCTGGCTGTCTGTATGCACTATTGCATTGTTCCTCAATCTTGGCCACTTTAGGATGGGTGGACTTCAACTCCCAGAATTCCACAGCCAACAAAGCATAATAGTGTCCTATTATGATAATGAAAAGATCTTTTCCATATTAGAAATACAGGTAGTCCTTGACTTACAACAGTTCACTTGTGACATTCAAAGTTACAACAGCACTGAAAAAAGGGATTTATGACCCTTCTTCACACTTACAACCATTGCAGCATCCCCGTGGTCACGTGATCAAAATTCAGAGGCTTGGCAACTGTCTCATGACAGTCGCAGTGTCCCTGGGTCACGTGATCACCTTTCGCGACCTTCTGAACAAGCAAACTCAATGGGGAAGGCAGATTCGCTAAACAACCTTGTTACTAATTTAATAACTGGGGAGATTCACTTAACAACTGTGGCAAGGAAGTTTGTTACATGGAGCAAAATTCACTTAACAAAATGTCTCACTTAGCAACAGAAACTTGGGGCTCAATTGTGGTTGTAAGTCAAGGACGGCCTGTATACAGCACTCTTTAAATGGAAATAATTCCATTTAATAGATAGCAATAAATGGATAGCGAACCTCAATTGGTTTAATGGATAGCAATTACTGGTTTAATGGATAGCAATTAATGGATTAATGGATAGCAATTAAGGTAATAATGGTTAGCAAATGTGAACATGTGTCCCCAGGACATTGCAGCTATCGTAAATAGATGCTGTTTGACTAATGTCTGAATGCTGATCACATTATTACAGGGGGGCTGTGATGGTTTTAAGCAGGGGTATCAAACTCAATCGCGTCACGTGATGTATCATGACGTATTGCGACATTTTTTGCCTTTGCGGAACCGGGGTGGCCGTGGCCTCCACAGGCCGCCAGCTTGACACCCCTGGTTTTAAGTATAAGGATTAACTGCAAGTGACTTTTCAGCACAGTTGTAACTTCAGATGGTTGTTAAATAAATCATAATTCGAGGATTACTTGTAAACAGATTGGTTCCTCCTAGCTTCTCAGGGACGGGCAACATCAGATATATCCTACTACCTAACTGGGCTCCTCTTTTCTCTTCTTCCTATACTGTAAGTATATGCTGTATAAAATCAGGTGATGAATAATCTCAGGTTTGCTGAGAGTAGAATTACCTACCCAAATTTGTCTCAGATTGAAAACTAAGCCATTTTTTTATTTAGATGAAACACCTCGAGGTATAACAAGTATTGTAAACTAGACTGGGAAGCTGAAAAAGGTGCCCTGGGGAACGGCAGGCCACGTTGCTGCAAAATAATCACATCCATGGTGTCTGTGAAGTTATCAGATATCAAGCTAAATGTAGTTGTGGTTTCATAAAAATGACGTCAGTAAATATATATCAGCTTTTCAAGGTAGGCCAGATAGGGGAATACACACTATAGGAAATTTTATTCATCTAGGCTGGGGTAGGCAACTTTGGCTCTTTTATGACTCGTGGACTTCAACTCCCAGAATCCCTGAGCCAGCCATGCTGAGGGGAAAAGGAGAGGTTTCTAAGCTGTGCCATGCTGGCTCAGGAATTCTGGGAGTTGAAGTCCACGAGTCATAAAAGAGCCAAGGTTGCCTACCCCTGATTCTAGGCTATAACAACAAAATCTTGAAAATATGACTATGTTTCCTTCCTCCTACATTGAACAGCATCAAGGAAAGACAGTCTTGACTTTCCTTCTCACGTTTTCTGGTTTTCCTCGGCTCCTATTTTGCTAATCACGTTTTTCTGTGAGACCGTCTCTCTGCTCTTCTAAAATATGCATATATTTTAAGGTAGTGAATTCATAGGGTTGGAAGGGACCTCAGGGGTCTTCTAGTCCAGCCCCCTGCTCAAAGCAGAAGACTATCCATCCCTGTCAAATGGTTGTCCAATCTATTTTTGTAAAACTTGCACTGATGGAACACCCTGAATTCGGGGAAGCAAGCTATTCCATCGATTAATTGTTCTAGCTGTCAGAAAATTTCTCCTTCTAGGTTGAATCTATCTTTTAACAAGCTTCCTTCCATGACTTCTTGTCCTGCCCTCTGGTGCTTTGGAGAATATCCCCTTTGCTCTGACAGCCCCCCAAGACAGTTAACCCCCCCCCCCCCGTTTTTCTCTTCGGCAGGCCAGACATACGTAGCTCCAGAGTACAGAGAAGAGCAACAAAGATGATCAGGGGACTGGAGGCTAAAGAATATAAGGAACGGTATGCTGGAATTGGGTATGTCTAGTTTAATGAAGAGAGGGATGAGGGGGGACATGATAGCAGTGTTCCAGTATCTCAGGGGCTGCCACAAAGAAGAGGGAGTCAAGCTATTCTCCAAAGCGCCTGAAGGCAGGACAAGAAGCAACGGATGGAAACTAATCAAGGAGAGAAGCAACCTAGAACTAAGGAGAAACTTCCTGACAGTTAGAACAATTAACCAGTGGAACAACCTGCCTCCAGAA